GCGCGCGTGTGTCGAACCCAGAGCCCTGCACAGTCTAGACAGTGCTTGAGCACGGAGGTGTATCCTCAGCCCTGGTTAAATTTACAGTGACGTAGACTCAGGGACCTTAACAGTTTGTCACAGACAGTCTCTTGAAGGCATTGTTCTTTCTGAAGCGCAGGTGAGCGCGCTGTTGACAAGAACCCGCTCTCAGGTGACTCCTGGGAGCATCCACTGCTCCTTGGGCCGCCTCGCTGTCTGGTAAATCACTTCTTGTGTGCTGCCCCCTCAGACCTGTGGCCAGCCGACCTCTGTGTTGGGTTTTCTGAGAGAGGTCTCTGTGTGGCCCTGGCGGGCCAGAGCACCCACAGACCTTCCTGCCCCTGCGTCTGGAGTGCTGGGCTCAAACCTGTGCACCACTGTTTCTCTGTGCACTTTTTTCCCCAAGAAACTTTGATTCCATTAAGAAGAAAATGGCATTTTTAGAGATTGTAATTTCGGTGCTGTTGTGTGTGATAGGCCCTCCGAAAAGATACAGTTAATACCAACTAATTTACAGCCACTTATGGACAATGATGTTACACATTTTTGTTGACACTTTCCTCTTTTACTTACCTGTTTGTGTGTCTCATTTCCACCCGAGAGTCCTCAGCCACACTGAGTGTGACAGAGTAAGTTCACACCCTCTCATTTTATACCACACCACACCCTCAGGCTGCCTGGTCCTACAGCCAAGCACGTGACTTACGGCAGCGAAGAGGCTGGACGCAGTGGTTTGCACTAACACGCACACTCCAGCGGCTGAAGCAGGGCAGCCTCGGAGAGGCCAGCCTGGGCTACAGGTGAGGCTTTTTCTCGAAGGCCGAAAAAGGAGAAGCGCTGTACGATCTTTGCTGTCGTTGTTTGTCTGTTTATTGGCCTGAGTGTGGACACTGCGAAGGATGGTTGGACAGTTTGTCCTGATTTCTCTGGAGCCGTGTTCGCCCCACCCGGTTCCCACCTGGTCCCCACCCAGTTCCCACCTGGTTCCCACCCGTTCCCACCCGTTCCCACCTGTTCCCACTGGTTCCCAGTGTAGTGTGTTGCTAATTAGAACAGATTCTCCTGGAATAGTCAGATCACCAATTTCACTTCTGCTTCTGTTTTTTTTTTTTTTTTTTGAGACGTTCTTATTTGTTTTAATTTACGAGTGTCTGTGTGAATGTCTGTCCTGTACGGGGCCAGCACTGTTGGACTCCTGGGAGCTGGACTTAGCAGTGGTTTTAGGCCGTCAAAGGTGGGTGCTGGGAACCAAACTTGGGTACTCTAGAAAAGCAGAACACTCTCAACCACTGAGTCATCCCTGTGTCCCTGGTCTGAATTTAGATATTTATAAAATAAGATACTCAAAGACGTCTACCCTCTGTCCTTGTTTCTTCTGTCTTATTCGTTCTCTCCTGTGTAAGTAGCTGTTTGGAAAAGCTTTTGTAACTTACTCTTTCTTTTTTAAATTTAAAAACATTTTTCTAGCATGTATGGGTGTTTGCCTCCATGTGTGTCTGTACACATGTGCACGCAGTGCCTGTGGGGGCCAGAAGAGGGCATCAGAGCAGTTACCATGTGGGTGCCCGCAATCGAGCCCAGGTCCTCTAGAAGAGCAGCCAGTGCCCTTACCATGGAGCCTTCTCTCCAGCCCCTGTATTCGGAAGTGTAATCAGGCATCTCTGTAGGCTTAGATCTTTCAAACACCTGCTTTACTTAATGTTCTCAAATGCCTCTTTTTTTCCCACGCCTGATCTTCGGTAGGAGGTTCGTAGGGAAAGGGGCTGTAGACCTCTTTTATCTACTTCCTGCTGCTCAGGGACATCGGGTTCTTTGGGAATATGGCAGTCTCAGTCGTCAGGAGACCAGCAGTTCAGTCAAACACCAAAACAGCAGCAGCAAACAGCGACAGAGGTGATACCACTCAAAGCAGCGAGACTCCGCCCAAACGGCATGAGTCCGCCGAAGCCGCAAACCTCTGCACAGAAAGTTCTGTAGTGTAAAACAATGTGAAACGTTTCAAAATGTAGTGATGCAAAAAGCATTGTCTCACTGTCTGTGGGCTTCTAGTAATCCCTTCTCAGAGTCCACACAAGGAAGTTTTCCGGCTAGCAAAAACCACCCCCTAGGATGAGGTAGTTGCCAGCCTTTCACAGGGGCTGTTTTCCTTGGGTGGGGGTAATTCCCTTATCCCACTCTTGGAACCAAAACACAAAACATGACACAACTGAGTTTCCAAATAAACCAGAAACTTTAACTTCACTTCTCCCCTTTCTTTGACAAAGTATAGCCATTTTTCCTCTTTGCCTTAGATACTTAATATTCTATCCTAGAGATTTTTTCATCATAGTAATAACTGTGATTTTTAAATATCTGTGAAAGTAAATTATCAAATTAATTATTCTAAATGACATTTGATGTTCTATTTCTCTAAAAAAATTATGTAAGTTAATCTCATTAAAAAATATCTTCTCAGATGGGCGTGGTGGGGCATGCCTGTAATCCCAGCACTCGGGAGGCAGAGGCAGGCCCATCTCTCTGAGTTTGAGGCCAGCCTGGTCTACAGAAGGAGTCCAGAAATCGCAAGGCTACTCAGAGAGACCCCATCTCAAAAAACCGAAAAACAAAACAAAAAGTCCTTCTGACTGGGGAGCTAGAGTGCCTGTCTTCAGGTCGTGTTTGGGGCACAGCTGAGCATGATAAAGTAGGGACGTGAGAGAGTGGGTTGGAGATCTGAGTAGGACCTGGAGGGAGGGGGAGGACCAGGTGTGTGGCAGAGCTTGGGGGAGGCACCTAGCACAGTCGTGTGCGCAGGCCCACATGGAGGCGAGAATGTGGAAAAGTAGCCTAGCCAGAGCCACAAACCGGAGAAGAACTATGCCAGAGTATCAGTGTGTTCTGCCCGGTAAGTCGATGCCCATGAGGTGACTGCGATTACAGCCATCGCACATTTCATACGAACATTTCAGTGCGGGGCAGGGGCTACGACCTTTTAAAAAGATTTGGTTTATTTTTATTTTGAAGCAGAGTTTTACTACGAGGCACTGACTGACCTAGAACTTGCTCTGTAGACCAGGTTGGGCTCTGCCTCCCGAGTGCTGAGACCAAGGCATGCAACTCCACAACGGGCTTGTTCTTTTTTATTTATGTCTATGTGAATATTTGTGCATGAGTGCACTTGCCCACGGAAGCCAGAAGAGGGCGTCAGATATTCTGGAGCCGGAATTACAGGCTGGAAATTGAACTTGGGTTCTTTGCAAGTGCATACACTCTCATAATCACTAATTAATATATATGATGTATAATATATATCCCATATATATTTTATGGGAGCTGGAGAGATGGCTCATAATATATGATATATTGTAATATATATGCTAGATTATAGTATATTACACACAACATAATATATAACACATATTATCATATATCTCATCACTAAGCAGAGTTGCAGTATGCCATTAGGACATAGAGATTGGTAGCTAGGTTAGCTAGGTTAGCTTGGAAGTGAGGGCCAGTCATCACTCAAGGCAAATGCCTGCTGGTGTTTGCCAAGTCTCAGATGGCTGTACAGAAGTGTAGCTTTGGCCAGTTGAAAAGATGGCAGCTGTGACCTTGGGCATAGTTATTTAATGTGCTTTGGGTCTAGGCTTCTCACAGCATGGGGAAAGAGAATGCCTGGCACATTTGCATTTTAAGGTTATTATGAGGTCACGAATTAAGAATATATGTAAACCACTCTGCTTCTCCCAGCTATCTCAAAGGAGTCGGTACTCACTGTGGTTTGAAGCATTTGAATAAATGAATATTTGTGTATTTCTGTGACTATTTGCATGTCTGTTTTTAACAGAGACCAGATGAGGAAGCTGTGGTGGATCAGGGTGGGACCAGCTCAATCCTCAACATTCATTATGAGAAAGAAGAGTTGGAAGGTAAGAAAGCTGCCGTCTGTGACCAGGGAGACCAGAGGCTTCTGGCTTGGGAAAAAACATGCCTGCCTTGCCCTTGGGAGACCTGGGTTCATGCCCGACTCTTTCTCTCTGGCTGTAAGGCCCTGTTGGGGAGAACACTTAACAGTCTTTGCCCCTTGCTCCTGGTCTTGATATAAAAGCAGAGATGATGGCACCCAGCCCGTCCAATAGGTGTGTCCCAGGCCCACTGGGTGCCTGTGGAGACACGTGCTCAGAGCACTGGGAGCTCCTAAGAAATGCTAACAATAACCTTTTCTCTGAGGATGTGAAGTGCCTAGTTCACGGATGCCTGATAACTGCACGGAATTTAAAAGAAAATAAAGTATCGGTAGTTTAAAAATTCAGCTTGGCTGTAATTTTTTTTTTTTTAACACATTTCCACTACTGGCTCTTCCTTTTCTAACTATGTCCATTTCTATGTGATTCAAATAAATCTGAACCAGAAAAGGGGACACAGAAATACACCAGCCAAGGGCTCTGAGGGCGCCCCATACAAAGTGTATAAAGGAAGGCAGGAGGGGCCATTCTTGTGCGCTGGTGTCCCCAGCTTCTCATTTGACCATTATGTGGGGTCGGTGGGCCTGGTGGACTCCTGCCTAAGCAGGGTTTCTCCTTAGGGCCGACACTCCGTTATCTGGAGGGAGGCCCCTGCCCAGTGCGGCTTCAGTAAGAGTGTGAGGTGGCTGCCGCTGCCCTGTGGTGCGTTCTCCCCATCCTGGGTTTGGCATTCAGCTGGTGCAGACTCACCCTTTGCGTGGGAAGTGACTCAGCCTCTGAGCCTGTTCCCGTGAAAACGCGCGTGGGCAGCTGTGGAGGTCAGCGTGTCTAGGTGACCGAGGCCGAGTCCTGGCCCTGTGGATGAAGGGGCAGGAGCAGGGCAGGAAGGGGGCGGTGTGGGAGGCCGCTGCCCGTGTTAGCACTAGGTTAGGCGCGTCACGGCAGCCATCGCCCCACCAGGCGAGAGTGGACCCCCGCCACTATTTCTGAGCCAAAGCTGAAGCAAGCTTTCTTAAATGCTGGCGGTGGAAGCTCTCCAGGGCCGCACCCAGATTCTCAGTGAGGCCTGGACGTACAGCAGCCAGGAGCTTGTGAAGGCAAACCCCCCAAGGCCATGGGCCTCCTGCCTTCGCCCAATCAGAGGCAAGCCTGCATCCTGCTGTGCCTCCCGCCTATGTCCATCCCGCCTACACAAGAGCAAGCCTGCTTCCTGTAGTTGGGGCAAGCCAGCTTGTGTACAGAAGCAAACAGATGCAGGCTTGCTATCCCTCATCACCCCCTGTCCAGGACCTTGTCTGTCCTTGGGTGGGGGTGGGGGAAGATCCGGCCTTGGTCTGCTGGGCTCCCTCGGTACAGGCTTCGTCGTTTTATGTTCTCTTACGCACAGTAATTTAAACTAAAGCGTAACTTTAGTCCTCAGTACCGGGACAGCGTTGGTGCAGCTGGTTGTGGGCAGCTGACCTCGGGTGGGGGAGAAGGACCCCGTCTTCACCCTGTATGTTGCACAGCAGGCACATCTGGCCCCCCGGCCTCAGCGCCCTGGGCTGCGTGCAGACAAGTCTTCGCCATGTGCCGCCTCGGGCACTGCCGGCAGCCGGTCTGTCCTCTGGCAGTGGCCCTGTGCCCGAGTCCTCCACCGAGGACTGAGCATGTTCTGTGTGCGTGGGAACGGAGAACGCACCCGGGCGAGCTCCCTTGGATATGCTCGCCAGGCCTCACCCGGCAGCATCTCCAGGTGATGTCATCGCTCTCTGGTGCGTGCTCTGCTCCTTGGGGAGAGAAACTGGCAGGGTGACACTGCTGGAGGACGCTGGGACACGGCCTTTCACGAGCAGACCTTCCTGAAAGCTAGACTCTTCCATTAGCGCTTAAACAAGCGCTGCAGACGCACAGAGGCCTGATTCAGCCCAGACCTGAAATGTCTGCTCACGGCTGCAGAAGAGGAGAGAGATTTCCCGCGGGCGTGGACATGCCACGGGCGGCCTGGACTCACTCTGGGGTGTGCTCACAGGATGTGATGAAGCTGTGTGCATCGGGCACTCGGAGAAAAACACCGTCCCGCCTTAGTGGAAGCTGTGGCCCACCATGCAGATTCAGCCTGCACAGGGCGTCTCCCGAGATGCCAGATGCCGTGGCTGCTGGAGTCCCGTGGCTGCTCATGAGTCCCGTGGCTGCTGGAGTCCTGTGGCTGCTGACGAGTCCTGCGCCTTCTTTGCATGCTCTACCGGAGTTCCCTTACACGGTTTCCAGAGTCGTTGGTGGTGGTACATGTGGGCCTTTCTGGATGAGCTGAGTCCATGGGAAGGAGTTACTAAACAGAAGAATGGAAAACAAGCGTGAAAGCAGCTTTCACAGCGACAGTGCATAATGCGCTTCAGTGGGTTCCCTGAGCCGCGTGGAAAACAGGCCATCGTTAGTTAGAGGAATGGCCTTTCCCATTTTTTTCTGGCAGATGATTACTCCTGATTAAGTAGATTTATGACTCCAGAGTCAGCTGAATGCTTTCTAATACACTTTCTTTTTTAAAAGGAAGGTTGAGACCCATTTGGTCACATTGGTCACTCTCAGTAGGCTTGCGTTTGTTCAGTGTAGGCCCTCCCCTGTGGCGACTGCCTTGAGTTGCCCCGCAAGCCCAGAGGAGCTGAGCAGCTGAGAGCGTGCTCACTAATGAGCTTCATGCGAGAGCTTGGTAAACAAGGCACACGGCGCCCTGCAGGCTCGTGTCTGCTGGCTCACACCGGTGCTTCCTGCTCCACAGACCGGCACCTCGTTCATGGCTGCCCCCAGTGTGTACGTGCTTAGTTTCAAGAATGCCAGCATCTTTCTTACAGGTTTGCTAACTAGGGTGATGCTGGTGGGCTTGGCAGACTCAGGCTGACCTCTACTAGAGAGGAAGAGTGAGGAGAGGGCTAAGAAGAAGCAGTGCTGGCCGAGTTGGTGGGTATGTGAAGTGGGCGATGCCCACTTGAGTGACCAGTGACGTGATTGTAGGGTGAGTTTGATGGGGCCACCGGACGGCCATATTCCAGCCAGATAGCTTGAGCTTTATTTCCTGGTTGCCGTCTTTTCTTCTAATTTTACTCCGAAATTCTAAGTCTCTGGTTCAGACTCCTCAGCTCACAAAACGACAGCTGATTTTGTGACAGTCATTTGGCCATTCTCGGCTAAGGCCCTGCAGGACTAGTTTTCATATTTGCATGTCTCTCTGGTGTGTTCAAAAGGCAGGGGGCGCCATCTCCTCTAAGACAGCCATGTTTCCTCACTCCCTACAGAATGGTCAAAGGCATCTAAAGGACGTCTTTCCCTTTAAGCCCTGACCTGCCTCTGGAGGCAGATCATGTGATCCGTGACACGTGCTCAGCAGCATCCTGAGGCCTGTGCGGTCCTGCAGCTCTTGGGAGGGTGTGAACAGGTTTAACATGTGCTCACACCCAGCATGAGCCAGCCTTTCTAGGGCTAGAGCATTAGAACCTAGATTTACGACATCTGGACAAGACTTGGGACGACAGCGGCCCTCCTTGCTTTACCGAGATAGTCTCAGTGACTAAACTAACCAGTGAGATGAGGCCTAGCGACACAGGTTCTGGTGCCATCCTTTGAGAATGTAGGTACGATTAAATAACACTAGCAGAATTGCAGCATGACCCTAGTGGGAGCATTTGGAACGTGTTTGAAGAGAAGAGGTGCGCGTGGCCAGCCGATCCGGAAAAGAAGCCTGCGGTTGAGATGGCTCTAGCAAAGGCCTCAGTAACCATCAGCCCTTTACCTCAGTCCAGCTCTACGTGGATAACACCACATTTTACAAGATTCCAGTCACTCTTTGAGAGGCTGTTTGCAGTGTTCTGTGGGATAGGATTGTTTTTCACAGCTGTGAATTCACTGTGATATGCCTCTACAGATCTCGTCGTTCTGTCCTTTGCTCTTTCCACCTTGCTCTGGCTCTACTGAAAGCTGTGCTGCACTGCTCCCCGCTCTCCTGAGGATCCCCTCACTCTTCTGGTGCCCCCTCCTTCCTCTCCTGGGGACCCCCCTCACTCCTCTGGCTCCCCCTCTTTCTCATCACTCAGGAGGACCTTCTGAGCCTCTTCACTAACGTTTTCCTTCCCTGTCATGGCCCCCAGATACCCTAGCTCTTCAGTGTATATTAATTAGTTGTATTTGAAAGAATATCTTTTAGTTTTCATTGTGGCTGTCTTCCCTGAAGACTTTGTGCATATCTTAGCTGTTGGAACAGAACCTGGCACAATTAGGCAACTCCATTCTGTTGCCAATGCCACCTTGGATGATTTCAGTGATGTGCGATAGGGACTTCATTGGTATATCGGGCAGGACATTGTTAAGAATGGATGATACTCAGTTTAGTCATGCGTTACAGGTCATACTAAGCATGCCAGAAATCTGAGCTGGCTAGTTTTTTGCCTGCTTGGCAGAGATACAGTGACAAGGTGCCATCCGTCCTTACTGTGGACGGCAGGGACAGGAACCACAGTCCGAGGCCAGGGAACAAGAATTTGGTGAGGAAAGGAGTGAGGCCAGTCCTGATTCTTGGTGGGGAAGAAGGTGAGGGCACGTCAAGGGGATGGTTGCCCAAGGGCAGCTGTGGAAGGATGGACGGAGACAGAGAGAGGGTAGCTCTTAAGGGGGAGGGGTGGGGGAGGGGTGGCATGGGATGGAGAGCACTGAGGCCGGCAGAGAGGAGAGGAGCCAGACTGTGGCGGAAGGAGCTGGCAGAGACGGCCAGTGTTGTCCCAGTTAGAAGCAAGGCAGTGGTCAGACGAAGGCCTGGGCCTGGATAGCATTCAAGGACGCCAGCTAAAGATGGGGAGAGCCTGGGGACAGCGTGGGCGAGGCTAAGATCTGGGGCAGAGCGGTGGGGTCAGGTGGAAATGGCACAGCTGCTATCAGGCCTGGGAACAGCCCTGAAGCTTTGGGCACGTTCCACGTTCTCCATTGTTGGTGCACTATCTCTCATTCCTTGGCTACAAGGTCTGTCATTAGGATGGCGTGCTCTCAGCGCAGCGTTGGCCTCCTCCATGGGCTACTGCATGGTGCTGAGCATTTTCCATGCATTACCTTATTTCCTTCTTTTGACAACCCTATGGGTTAAAAAAATTAAGCTTTAGTGTTCCTTTTAAAAGATGAGTCAAGTGCTGGGTGGTGGTGGCGCACGCCTTTAGCCCCAGCACTCGGGAGGCAGAGGCAGGTGGATCTCAGAGTTCGAGACCAGCCTGGTCTACAGAGGGAGTTCCAGGATAGCCAGGGCTACACAGAGAAACTCTGTCTCAACAAAACAAAACGATGACTCAAGAGAAATTGGATGACTGGTTTATGGTCATACAGCTAATTGTGAATTGGAGTTTTGAACCTAGGCAGGCTGATGGACCCAGAAACACTTTTCTAAACTACCTTCTGCCAAGATATGCCACAATTACCATACAGGAATTGTCACATTGTCTTTTTTAATAGCAAAAGGTAACATACGTTCATAGTTTGTAAGTCATCCTTCCCTCTTCCCTCTCTCCCTCCCTTCCTCTCCTTCCCTTCCTTCTCTCTTTCCTCCTTCCCTCCCTCCCTCCCTCCTTCTCTGGCTCCACTTGCACATGCTCCGCTGTTCTGCTGTGAGCTCCCTTCCCTCACCCTAAGGTAGGACCTGCTGTGAGGCTCCCATGCTCCCTCGGCCATCACCCCCTCTCTCACAGCTAGTGTACAGAATAAATCACACATTCCTTCATTCGACTGTCGCATCTTGTGAGGTTCACAGCCATGCGCAGGCAGCTCTGTGAGACCTGTAGTCCTGGGGGGCCTGTGAAGTTCATCATTCCGGAAGTGACCGGTACAGAAGCCTGTGGTCTTTTACAAAAAGGGTCTCTCCGTGTCTCCTGCTTCCATCCAGGTCACAGAACTCTGTATGTCGGGGTTCGGATGCCGCTGGGCCGGCAGAGCCATCGGCACCACCGCACCCATGGCCAGAAGCACCGGAGACGAGGCGGGCGGGGCAAAGGAGCCAGCCAGGGCGAGGAGGGCTTGGAAGCCTTGGCCCACGGTAACACCCTGGGGAGAGGGGGTGACACCTGAAGAGAGGGGGTGATGACACCCTGGGGAAGGGGGTGATGGCACCTGGGGAGAGGGGTGACACCTGGGGAAGGGGGTGACACCTGGAGAGAGGGGGTGATGACACCTGGGGAAGAGGGTGACTCTCTGGGGGGGGACAGGTGCCTGTGGTTGGGAGATGTGCTGGGTCATGGGATGCAGGATGGACACAGGCAGGTGGCCTTGAGTCTCTAGCCCTTGCCTGGGGTTCCCAGGAGGAAGGAAGACTTCTAAGACTTGAAACTGCCTTCCTGAAAACTTCCAGCTCAGCACCCCAGTCAACACTACAAGTGACCCTTTGCTAGAGAGTTAATAACTTCTTTTTACTTAAAGAACAAAACAAAATTGTTTTCACGAGTTCGGGTATTTTGCCTGTTTGCATTCGTGTGCGCCACATGCGGGCCTAGTGCCCTTAAAGGCCAAAACAGGCTGTCCTGTCTCCTGGGACTGGAGTTACAGTTGTGAGTTGCCATGTGGGTGCTGGGACTCGAACCTGGGTCCTCTCTAAGCGAAGCCAGTGCTCTCAGCTGCTGAGCATCTCTCTAGCCCTGACGTCTAGGTTCTCTTGGGCCTTTGGTGAGGGGTCTCAGTTCATAGCTCTGCTCTGCGTGGAAATGCCCCACTGAATAACCTTTCTCCAAGAACAAAGGCCCACTTCTGCACCTCCCAGCCGTTAGGCAGAGTGCGGTGTCTGCTCTGCTTGGCGGCTGGCTACACCTGCAGACCTCCCTCTGCTCGGTTCCCCAGACACCCCGTCTCAGCGCGTTCAGTTCATTCTCGGCACCGAGGACGATGAAGACCACGTGCCTCACGAGCTGTTCACAGAGCTGGATGAGATATGCCTGAAGGAGGGAGAAGATGCCGAGTGGAAGGAGACAGCCAGGTGAGGCCCGGCAGCAGCCTGGGGCGGCCTCCGCCTGGCCAGGCGCACGTGGCCCCCAGCAGGGCAGGCCTCAGGCCCTCCATCCCCCCATGCTCTGGCTGAGGTAGTGTTGATGCGTGCACGTCTGTGGGCATTTGCCATGGGAGAGAGAATTAAACAGGCCAGTTGGCCTGACAGCAAGTGAAAGGCAATTAGTCTTTTGTGTTTCTGTCTTTGTGGTTTCTGAAGTCATACAGAACATTGATAAAAATGTTATTATTTTATGAACGTGGTTTGTCAACATGTCCAAATAGTAAAGAGTTTTCAAAATCATGCTTACTATAGACATTAAAAACATAAGCCAGGCGCGGTGGTGCACACCTGTAATCCCAGCACTCGGGGAGGCAGAGGCAGGAGGATCTCTGTGAGTTCAAGGCCAGCCTGGTCAACAAATTGAGTCCAGAACAGCCATGGCTACAGAGAGAAACCCTGTCTCGAAAAACAAAAACCAAACCAAACCAAAAAACCAAAGAAACAAAAAAGAAAATAAAGATAAGCAAAAAGAAAATGACGGCTTCAATCGTACTGTCCCAAGGATGAACGGTATTTGGGATCTATGCATGCATGTTTTATAGTTTTGAATTTGTCTTTAGACAAAGATGGGATCAGGTCTGCACCGTGCCGTGGCATGCCTTTCCATTCTCGAGTGTCTGGGTGCTAGCCCAGGCGCTGGCGTTCTGTTTTGAAGATGCAGTCTTGCGTCTCTAGCAGCTCATTACTGGCGACGTTTGCAGGTGGCTGAAGTTTGAGGAGGACGTTGAAGATGGGGGAGAGCGCTGGAGCAAGCCCTATGTGGCGACCCTCTCTCTGCACAGCCTGTTTGAGCTCAGGAGCTGCCTCATCAATGGCACTGTGCTGCTGGACATGCGTGCAAGCAGCATAGAGGAGATTTCAGGTAAAAGTAGACCTCGGGCGGGGAATGCGTGTGAGCTCTGAAGTCTGGGAGCAAGTGTTCTGGACACACACCCATAATCCTGAGCAGGACGGTGACAGGCCCCAGGCCTGGACCACACAGTGACACTTTATCTCAGGCGAAACAAAACAGAACCATGAAGCCAGAAAGGAAGAAAATGAAAGCCAAGACTGCTCCGTGGGTAAAGTGTTTGCTGCACCGGCTGGGCGGCCTGATGCCATCCCAGGAAGCTATGACGGAAGCAGTGACCTCTGAAACCTTACCTCTACCTCCACAAGCACACCATGGCCCGTGCCTTCATCACACACGCGTGAATGCGCGCACACACACACACACACACACACACACACACACACACACACACTAATAGTAACACTAAAGCTTTCAAAAGAACGTTAAAGATTTAAAAGCCATCTAGAACAGGTGTGCAGGATGGTGAGCCACAGCATTCCCGTGCTTCAGAGTGGCATGCAGGGGTAGGCCCCTGTGGTGCTCGCCCCTGTGCTGCGTGCCAGGTAGGCCCCGTGATGGGGTTTGCCCGTGTTACTGATCTTGGGGAGCAGCCCTGGGAACAGCTGGCCAGGCAGGCTGAAGGTTTCTCTGTTGCAAGTGTCTACGGAATTCTGCCTCTGTCAGACGTGGGGATGGAGGTCAGCACTGACGGAAGCCTGTGTGCGAGCCTTTGAGAGGTGATGTGGAAGGTGTATCACCAACTGCAGAGAGAGCGGAGTTTAAGGAAAGAACGAGCTCAGTGTGAGGGTCGTGCGTACTGCTGTAGAGGCAGTGAGTCCCCGGGGAAAGGAGGCCAGAGATGAGCACCGGTTTATCGGCTTGCGAGCGGAGATGCTGAGGGTTAGGACAGTCACAATCACGGGCAAGCCTGGTGTGGTGGGCGAAACGTGTTTATCCATGGAGGTGTGTAAGCAAAGGGGAGCCAGGCATGGTGGCTGACCTGAAGTGATCTCGCTCCTGTCCGCAGGGGCACGGGAGCATACTCCCAAGCCGTCTTTGGGGACACTGAGGTCACAAGGCTCTTGTCTCGGCTTCGGGGGTTTCCTCGCAAGCACTCAGGATTCTCACACGACTCCGTTCCTAGACTGTGTTCCAAAAGGCTCACATCCGTCTGTCACTGATTGTAGCTGTGTATCTAAAAGCCTGTGAAGGTTCTTAAGAAAGTGTGTGCTATGTTTTGGGGAGTTAGTGCCTTTGTAATCATCGGAAATGAGGAGACCTTGGCCAAACTTGGAGGATCCTGCCTGCCCATGTTAGCTGTAGGAAGGATGATGGAGGGTGCGTTGAAGGGGGAGATCAGGACAGTGGAACAGAGGAGGTGAGACTTTACTGCTACCTGTTGGGTTCAGGGTGGAAGCCGAGAAAACTCTCTTCAGATACAGAAGCTTAAAGTGAAGCTTTATTTTCTGAGCTCAGAGAGGCTGCCAGTTCAGGATCCGAACTGTGTCCTGGAAAGGAGATTGCACAATGCAAAGGCTAGGCACTGTAACATTGTTTAACCATATTTTGACACTGGGTTTGAGCAAGGGAGTTTCCATCAATCAGGACAGAAGTAGGTTCCTGGGCCTGGAACTTTCTGACCCTGCCAGCAAGATGGAGAAGTTGTCCCTGAGATAGCTGGGCTCAGAAAACTGTTTCTTTATAACAGGAGCTGTTCAGCTACCGGGAAGTACCCAGCCCCCTAGGGCCTGGATCTTGAGTTTGGTTTCTCCCTGTGATTAAATGGAGTCTGAAAACAAAATGTTAGTACTTAGAACACACTTCTCTTGCTTGTTGCCAGCACGCGTGGGCAGTGGCAGTAAGGGATGGTTCCAGCACAGCTCAGGTCGTGGCACTGGTGGGGCGCTGTGACGGACTGGTTTTGGGTATACAGGAAGGAGTTCAGGATTCTGGCCTGGGCTGGTGACTAGCAGGTCAGGCCTGCTTGGTGGGAAGATGCAGCTTTGTGCTTGCTAAGTGCTAGGTGTGTGTGTGTGGGGGGCATCCAGATGGAGGTGTGTGGGTAAGCGGGGTGTGTGTGTGTGGGGGGGGCATCCAGATGGAGGTGTGTGGGTAAGCAGAGCAGGTGTGACCCTGAGACAGGTTTGAACGGAAACGTAGCCCCAGGTCGAAAGTTCTCAGGCGGTTGCTCACTGGTCAGCAGAGGGGCGGGGACTCCAGTTGCCTTAGGCTGGCTGCAGGGGCCATCGGCTGGTTGAGAGAAGAATGTCATCTTTGGAGACTGAGGCTCAGTGGTGCTGAGTGGTAGGAGGACAAGCAGACAGCCATCAAACTGTGACAGCCTCCACCAAGCCGTGACGCAATTCCACCTGTGCAGTGATTGACGATGAAGCTGGTCGTGGTGGCTCATGTCTGTAATCCCAGCACTCAGGTTAAGGCAGATCAGGTTCAAGACTAGCCTGGGCTTGTAGCAAGATCTTGTCTAAAGTAAAATCAACTAACCAATCAAAGAAAAAATTTGGAAGCTGGAAATCTGCTGAGTTTTAGGTAGGGCTGTGTTCCTCAGAGGCCCATTGCGTGAACATTTTTTCCTTGGTCTTCCCAGCTTGTAGCTGCTGGGAGCTAAAGGCGGTCATTTGGTTTGGTTTAGTTTTGCTTTTTTGAGACAGGGTTTCTCTGTGTAGCCCTGGCTGTCCTGGACTTGCTTTGCAGACCAAGCTGGCCTCCAGCTTACAGAGATCCGCCTGCCTCTGCCTTCTGAGTGCTAGAATTACGGGCATCATCACGCCCAGCTGCTACAGGTGTTTTTTGATTGAGGATTTTTTTGTTCCCTTTGGGGAATTTTTAATGGAAAGAGAAAAGATAAAAACGGTAGATGGAAGAGGGGCCTGGGGTGGATGAAGGATTCTGAAGCAGGCTTGTAATGTGAGGGAAGAAACCAGTAGAAAGGTTCAGTGTGCAGGCCTAGGCTTGTGAGCCACACCTGCAATCCCAGCCTTGGGAGACAGAGACAGATGTTCACAGCAGCTGCTGAGGCGTTCGATAGCAACTTCCTGGCGGGTGTGGTGGCTTGCACGCCCCTCTGCAGGTGAGAAGGCAGCAGGCCGACTGACGTGTAATTCCACGGTCAGCTGGGTCAAGAAAAATGGAACTAGGAATTAAGTGTCGGGCCCGCAGCTCCAGACATTTATTTGAAGTCCTGCTGACAGAACCAAGCAAGTACCCCACTCAGATCATTGGACTTGGAAGTTTAAAAGCTAGTAATTCTCTGCAGTGAGCAGATAATTAATTTAAATGATACATTTAATTTTTATCATTTCATTTTATATGAGTGTATTTCTCTGCGTGATGTCTTTGCACCATATGCGCGCGGCACCCGAAGAGGCCAGAGAGGGCATTGGATCCTCCAGAACAGGAGTAAAGACAGTTGTGAGCCGCCATGTAGGTTCTGGGACTTGAACTTGGGTCCTCTGGGAGAGCAGCCAGCGCTCCAGCCCCAATTTAATTTCCTTATAGGTTCACTTTCAAACAGCCACTGGAGCTCAGAGCTGGAACATCCCTGACAGTTACATCTGTGCTGAGTTCTTAAAGGAAGGGTAGTGGAAAAAGGGTAATGGCGGCCCTGTGAGTCAGCCAGTCCTGGCATGAGCGCTTGCTCCCCAGCTGGCAGATGTGAGGGCCTGGGACCTCGGTGACAGTCATCTCTTGGTCTCCTTGTGTGTGTGAACGGTCTGACTTCGGTTAGAGCACTGCTGCTCTTCCGGAGGAGTCCAGTGTGGTTCTCAGCACCCCGTCACGTGGCCCACAGCTGCTTGTCACTTTGGGGGATCTGGCACTGTCTTCCGTCTCCGTGGGCGCCTGCACACATGTGGCACACACACTCATAAACAGAGAAAAACAGATAAAATAGAGTTAAAGAAAGCTTGTCGTGGAAATACCCAGTCTCCGGGTTTGAATAAGGATTGGTAGATACAGATGTGTACCGCCTAGTGCAGCCCTGGGCACGTACTAGACGGCCAGCAGGGTCCAGTCCCCGAAGCGAGGCTGAGCTAGGCAGAGTGGAGCGTGCCGCCGTGGAAGGCCAACCTTACTTTTTTTTTTTTTTTTTAGATTTGTATTTTATGTTATATGTGTGAGTACTTTGTTGTGAGTGTGGACGCCACAGGCCGGCTGTCCTCAGGGTGGCCCTGCTGGGGCAGCTTGCCTCTGCGCCCCCCCGGGCACCTGATACTGCTCCCCTGCTTTCCAGACCTGATACTGGACCAGCAGGAGCTGTTCAGCGACCTGAGCGACAGCATGCGGGTGAAGGTGCGGGAAGCCCTTCTCAAAAAGCACCACCATCAGAACGAGAAGCGGAGGAACAATCTCATCCCCATAGTGCGCTCCTTCGCCGAGGTCGGCAAGAAGCAGTCCGACCCGCACTCCATGGACAGAGACGGTAGGTGTGCTCCATGCTTCGTGGGCCGGGGCCCGCGGCCCGCAAGCTGGACGTGCTAACGAGCAGCGGGCAGAGGCTGCGCCCTCAGCCACGCTGATGGGTGCTGAGCCCTCAGCCACGCTGATGGGTGCTGAGCCGGGCGGCTGCGGAGCTGGACCCATCTCTCCCTCTGCTCCCAGGAAGGGTGTGGCTTTGGGGAGAGCGTCCACACTGCTGCTGATAGGAGTCCAGAGGCGCGAGCTGCAGCATTTTCAGCTGAGCAGATGCCTTAGACACAAGGTGTCTTAGAGGCAGGTGTCAAGCCTGCACTTTCGGCAGTACTGTCTGGAGAGTTCCTGGCCCTGCACAGTCCAGTAAAGCTCCTCACGTTTAATTAAATAACGACAATAGCAGGCCCTTCCTTCCCTTTATCATGTCTGTTCGTTCCCTTAGGGCCAAAGCCTGTGGCCAGGCGCAGGCAGGTCAGTCTCTCCCAGCGGCTAGTGGCTGGCGAGGGCCTCATCTGTGTTTTCTAGTCTCCTCGTTTACTAACGTAGAGCGTGCAGGCCTGTGCTGGAAATCTCCCTCTCACTGCCGAGTGAGTGTGGGAACACACACGAGTGGCCCCGCTTCACGGTTCTCACAAGCTGCCGTGGCAGAAGGGAAGGGCAGGCTGCTAGCAGATTCTGTTTGACTCTCTCCACACAGGGCAAACTGTGTCTCCTCAGTCTGCTCCAGCTACAAACCTGGAGGTGAAAAATGGAGTGAATAGTGAACACAGCCCTGTGGATCTAAGCAAGGTGAGGGGCACGTGGCCAGCTGGCTTCCGGGTGGTGTCTGTGGTGGGGCCCAGTGCCTGCTGGGATCTGGCAAGCTTTGGTGTTCCGCCGCTCCCCAAGGCGAGTGCTGCTCCTGTGGAAAGGGACGCCCAGCTTCTCATCCTCTGCCCTCACACATCTGGCCTGCATGAGGCCGGCTCCTTCCAGAGCGAGCACAGTGAAGACCACGGTGGCTTCACCTGCCCAGACCCCCATTCCGTAGTCACTGTGGAATCTGATGCCTGGCAGTTCCTTGAACTCTTCAAGTTGTCAGGACAGTATCTGCAGCTGCTCCTGACGCTCCTGATGTTTCAGACTCTTCTTGGGGGCTGTGGCTGATGCCTAGGCCGAAGCAGTCAGGTGTGTGAAAGAGAAATCACGTGGCCCAGAGCCTCCATGGCTCCTCTTCTCCAGGGGCCTGATGGGAAGGAATGCAGGCCGGATTCTAGGCAGCTCGGTGGTAAAGGTGTTTGCTGCCTGCGGATCTGAATTCCAGCCGGAGACCCACAGATGCGCGGAGAGGCTGCTGCTCAGCAGGAGTGTGCTGCGGCTGTGTGGAGACACGCACACGTGCTCGCGTGCACATGCTGATTTATGTAGCACAGCTCTGTGGTTCAGCTTTCTCCCCCTGGCTCTTAGTTGCTCTATGGGACTGATATGGTCTGTGTTAGCTCCATTCAGGGTTTTTGTAAAGATCAGCTAGAAGAGTGAGAAGCTCTTTTTTAACCTTGAGTGAGACGTGCAGTTGGAGGTGTGAGAGGGTGACTGGCGTTGAAGACGCGGCTCCCAGGTTATCTGAGGCTCTTTTGCTCTCCCAGGTGGACCTTCATTTCATGAAGAAGATTCCCACGGGGGCCGAGGCCTCCAACGTCCTGGTCGGGGAGGTGGACAGTCTGGACCGGCCCATCGTTGCCTTTGTGAGGCTCTCCCCGGCTGTGCTCCTCTCGGGCCTCACAGAGGTGCCCATCCCGACCAGGTACAGGGCAGGGCATCCCATCAGAGCACGCGTGTGTGAGCGCTGGTGCCAGAGACCAGCTGGTCCCAGATGTCAGAGTCAGCTGCTGGGATAGTAGTGCTTAAATTCCTCAGCGAGCCGTGCACGCGGGGAGGCCAGGCAGGAGTAGTTCCAAATTCTAACTGTGACCCTATAGTACGGTTGGCCTCAGAAATGGAGGCTGGGGGACCGGTGAAAGCTCAGAGCGGAGGCCAGGGGCTGGTCACACTGGGAGGCCTCAGCCTCTGTCTCCTAGTGTGACAGAGCACTGTCCAGGGAACCGTCTCCAGGCAGAGGGACGGCTGTCCTTCCGTAGCGCTGGCAGCATGGGCTGTTCCTGTGTTCTGAGGTGGTGACGGGTGATGCAGAGTCCGCTAATCACAGAGTTGCGATGTCCAGAGCACAGACTCTGTCCAGGGCTCCGCCAGCCCAGCTGCCCGACCCTTCCCTTCCCCTGCCATTTTCTTAGTAGAAGGTGAATGGGAATTAGAGAACCTTGAATTTGCACAACAATGCAGTGTTTTGAAAAGGTGTCCTTTCTATAATGGGAATTGTGTCTGTGGTAACTCTAAGAAATCCGGCCAGCCACATTATTGAATAGGATCTTATGAACAGCTCCAAATGCTGTTTGGCCTTGCGATGTTCAGCTACACGTTAGCTCTTTTTCTTGAAGGCACAGGGCTGCTCTCTGTGTAGCAGGAGGTCAGGAGCTTTGCTGTCTGCAGAGGAGAAGACGCTGCTTCTCTGTTCTCACATACGCCTCATCTGTTTTGGCAGATTTTTGTTTATCCTGTTGGGACCAGTAGGAAAAGGTCAGCAGTACCACGAAATCGGCAGATCCATGGCCACCATCATGACGGATGAGGTACAGCCACTTCTCCCTTCCATTCACTCATCTTATCAATACTGAGCGTGTGCCCTTTTCCAGACACTGAGTGCTGGCGGGGATAGACCAGGGCCATAGCGTCTCTGAGAGCCTTCGAGAGAGCGCCAAGCCTGCTGGGAGGCCCTCACTGCTACCTCTTGTTTGTTTGTCTATAAACAGGTCCTATGTAGCCCAAGCTGTCTCTGAATCCCCGCTTCAGGGCTTATCCAACGCCACGGCCACTCACCTCTCCCTTTTTAAAGTAATCAAGGATGCAGAGAGATCATCCTCTGGGAGAATTCCTATTGCCAAGCAGAATGTGTAGACTTGTTTAGTGCAACTGGTGAAGCCCGAGTTAACTCTCTGGAGAATATGGTTAATTAAATACATCGAAGTTATTTGCATACTCCCATGCTGTGGAAGGGAGGTCGGTGTGCAGTTTGCATGAGGTCAGGGTGTGCCCTCAGGCCGTGCCACTCTAAGCCCTGTCCCACACCACCGCTCTGGGCCTGGCGGGGACGTTGCTGTACAGTGGGGCTTCCAGGCACTCGTGCGTCTTGGTGGCCAGAGGGAAGTGTGCACTGAGCCTTTCTCGGGGCTTCCTCATGAGCGAGTCCATTGAGGTCAACATGGCTGACAGTTCTGTGTCTTGCCTCTTCTCCTGGGCGGCCCTGCAGTCCTGCCTGAGCTCCCTGACACAGCGTCTCACTCTGTAACCCAGGTTGGCTCTCACCTTGGCAGTCCTCCTGCCTCAGCCATTGAGTCCTTGGCTTTACAGACACACACCTGCACACTCAGCTCTAGGCTCCCTTTATACCCTGCTGAGCGCTGTTTACATCCCAGCTGCCATGACAGAGAGTCAAGAGGCTGTGTCCGCCTATCGCTAGCTATCGGAGATGCTTGTAAAGAAAGTAATTTTGAGATGTCCTAAGTTTTTAAAATCCCCTTTTCTGTAGATTTTTCATGATGTAGCATATAAAGCAAAGGAGCGAGATGACCTCCTGGCAGGGATTGATGAGTTCCTGGACCAGGTGACCGTGCTGCCCCCCGGGGAGTGGGACCCATCCATTAGAATCGAGCCACCCAAGAACGTCCCTTCCCAGGTAATGCATGTGTGTGCGCTGGTGGCGGCTGCTGTGGGGAGCGCTGGAGTATCAGACTAGAATAAAAAACCAATAACATGGGGTTGGACAGGGGTTGGTGTTCCTGCGGAATGGATTTTAAGGCAAACTTGGAAGGACTGATAAAGCGTGATGGAGGGAGAGGGAAAGGATTTCTCAGAAGTACATCATGTAGGAAATGATCAAGGGGAAACACGGACAGTGTGATGAAAGGGTGAATAGGTTTCCAGATGGTTCTGTGACGTCCTGGGGAAGAGAGCGCCTGCATGCAGCAGGCTGAGGCCAGGCGTTTTATCCTCGTGAATTCCGCCTTCCCAGAAGCCCCCTCTTTCCCCAGGTGTCCTTATCTCTAAACTCGATTAGCTGATCTAGGGCAAGATTTTCAAGGACGCTGAGATGACAGAGCAGCACATTTGAAACTGGAATTTAGGTCGTTTCTTGTTTCTGGGAAGCATAGTTGGGAATGAGACTCTGCTGCGGAAGTCCACCTGTCTCCCATCCCAGGAATGATCGCATCCATTCAGCAAGTGCATTTGAAAGCCAGAAACATTTGAACATTGTTATGGCTTTTGGGTTATCTTGTTGCCAGCAAGGACAGAGAGGTCGCCCTGACTCGACTCATTTTGTTGTCTTCTGTCAAAAGGAAAAAAGGAAAATGCCTGGAGTTCCAAATGGAAACATTTGCCACATAGAACCAGAGCCACATGGGGGACACAGTGGGCCAGAACTGGAGCGGACTGGGCGGTGAGTTCTGAGCTGCCGCGCTGGCTGCTGCTCACGGAGGCGCTGCCGGGGCCTGGGGCGTGCTCGGAGTTCAGCCCTTTCAGATGGGGCCATCTACTGAACATGCTGCACAGGCGTCCAGTGTTAGGACCTTCGTCCCGGTGTCCCGAGCCTTTTGACAGGTTCTGTCTGCCCCCGGCTCTTTGTGGTGTCGCTCGCGCTGGTGTGAATAGGACACCTCTCCTTCCTGTCTCCTGGGGCTCTCCCAGGGCTCTCTGTCTCTGCTGGATGCCAGTCCCTGCGGTGAGCCTGGCAGTGTCTGTGGCTGACCGGGCCCTGCTCGGCCGTCACTGCCCTGTCACTCGTTGCCATTACCCCTTGGCTTGTTGTGTTTCCTGCTACACTGTTGACTCCAAAAGGTCAAGTGGTCCACGGTAGTCCTGGCGCGGTGCTCAGCACAGCCGACATGCCATGTCTGATGAGTGAGTGACCCCGGTCATGTGGGGCCTGTGTGCAGCATGGGATGGACAAGGCCTGAGCAAATGCTGGGCCGGCGCTTTGGGATGAGACACTGCCGTTCGGGTAGGAGAGGTGTTTTATTAGTGGTGTGTCTCAGGAAGAAACTCTGCAATTCCAGGCCAGAATTTTACAGACATGTCCAAGGAAGAAGTTGCTTCTGGTGGCTGAAGGCAACTCGGCCAGAGACTAGGAGTTTTATTTCCCAGGTAGGAAAGAGGTGGAAGAGGATGGCAGGAGGCATTGGTTTGCATAGTGGAACCTCCAGATTGTGGGGAAGGTTCCAGGATACACCTAGAACCAGCTGTGTTCTGTCTGCAGAGGATCCAGTAGGGGAGGGGACCCCACGGGACTAGACTCATCATGGAGATAATGTCCATGTCATCTCCTTCGTTGCTTTTTCCTCCCCTTCTGGAAGCTTAGGTGTCTTCATTTGATTTCCTTCTTTTCAAATACAGAGCATGATTTATTCTTCTACTCTTGGAAATTCATGGAGAAGGGACAGAGAAACGGGGCCGGTGGCCCTTAACCAACCCTGTCCTGACAGAGGAGTACAGTTGTTCTGGTTGAAAGGATGTGTTTGAAGGTAGCTGTCCCGGGGTGATGGTCAGGAGGAGGAGCCTGGAGTAGAGGTGCCCGAGAGAGTAGCATGGCCGTGTGGGAAGCTCGTTTCTGGAGACAATGACGGAAGCATCATGGGAGTGGTTCCCAGACTGAGGCTGTCCAGGACGAGGTGGGCACGTTCAGGAAAGAGGCGGGGCCTGCTAACATCTCAGAGTTTTTTACCGAGTACCTTTTGATGTATAGATATGCCTGTACCCAGGTATACTTTGAAGCAATGGGATGAAGGTTTTCTCAAACAGCTGTCTCTGCAGAAGGGAGATTTTAGGTTTTCTCAAGTCCTGAGGAAAACTAAAGGAGGGTCCTGTGCTCTGGCCAGCTCTGTGTGGGGCTTTGGGCCACCATCAGATTGGATCAACAGTTACAGGATCTTGGAAATAGTATGTGATTCTCCCGAGGAAAACACCACTGACAGGACCGTTACATACTTCATCACAGATTCAAGCAGGGTTTCAGAGGAGTTCTGCGTGTTTCACAAAGCAGGGACTTCGTGACGACACTAAGAGAGCGCTGTGGCCTAAGCTCTGCTCCCTGAACGATGTCACCCTCAGGCTACCCAGGCAAGGGAGGCGAGGCATACAGACTTCTGGTCTCGATAGCCTGTCGGGCCAGCTGGCCCCCCCTTCTGTGAGAGCTCACAGTTCCAGGCCAGCTCTGGCCCCCAGCCCACCTGAAATTATGTAAAAGGTGAAGATGAAGCGTGGACACGCTGAAAGTGTGGGGGCTTTCTGCCCTGCGAAGTCACAGACCAGTCGGTGGACGTGTGTCTGTGATTGCTCACATGTTAGCTGGGTAGTTTGTATGCAGGCGTCTCTTCTGCATAGCACGCTGCAGAACCTTGAGGCCAAGCCAGAGCCTTGGGGACAGTTAGCCATGTGGAGTGGAGGTGGTTGGGGGTTCGGTAGGCAGAGTAGGAAGGCAGAGGGAAATGGTCCTCCAGCTCCGTGTTTTCTGACCCCCGGCCAGGGTCGAGAGTGAGTCGTGAGCCTTCCTGAGGCCGATATGGGCAGGAGACAGTGTGTAGGAGCAGAGAGCATGACTAGACACTCTGGCAGCCTCGAGAGCTCTTCTGCAGCGTCCTCCAGAAAGGGGTTTCAGGATAGATTTTAGCCCTTATTTGGGGTGCAAACTTTGGGGAAGGGTTCATGAAAGAAGAATCTGGAGCTGCTGTGTCGCTGATCCTCTCACACTTCAAGCAGGTCTCTTTCAAAGCTCGCCACACAAATGGCTGCCTGCCCTGTCCCTAAAGCCTCCCAGGGAAGGGTCCTAAGTCAGTGTTCGGAGCCTAGAGACCCCCCAGAGGCGTAAATTCCTGCCTCTGCGTGCCTCCTGCCCTCAAGTGCGTGAACATCAGGGACAGTGTTGAGATGGACCTGAAGTTTCCGGTAGGGAGAGAGGCAAACACGTCTCATGTCTGCTTTAGAGTGTCACGTCATGCATGAAGGCGGTATGGGGCTGACTCCAAAAGACGTCAGAGCTGGGCAGTGGTGGCACACACCTTTAGTCCCAGCGCTCAGGGTACAGGGGCAGGAGGGTTCGAGGCCAACATGGCCTACAGAGAGAGGTCCAGGGCAGCCAGAGCTATGAGTAAAGAGAACTTGTCCCAAAAAATAAAAGGGAAGTAATCAGAACTCACCTTTTTTTTTTTTTTTTTTTTTTTTTCATTCTGTTAGTGTGAGCATGGTGCCCACTGAACTTAAGTGGTTAGGCGGTGTCTTCCTGTCTGTTCTTCACAGACACACCTCCCTGAGGAGGCTGTGCACTGTGGTAGCACCTCAAGGAGCTCAGTGAGCTCTTCCCAGCATAACGCCTCAGATGAAGGTTGTTAGTGAAACCCGGCGGGCCCCTGGGGGCATAAGCTGCTGTGGTAGGTAGAACCCAGAAACACTTCCAGATTAGTCCCGGCCACCCTGGAGATCCCCGAGGTCTACTGTCCCACCCCTGAGGCTGACCCTTGGCGATCTAGCCCCTGCAGGTGGCTCCCTTGCCTGAGCCGGTTTGCTGCACAGGCTGATGGGTGCTGAGGCAGGTCCTGAGGTGGACCTTCCTCTCACCTCAGCCAGAGGGGAAACAATGTGGGTGGTTTTCATGCTGGGCCCTTCTCCACCCTCCGCCTCAACCCAGGTCTTGAGTGGGGCCGGGTCGGTGTTCTTGTCCCGGCCTGCTCACAGTTCCCTGGGCTCTTAGGAGAAGAGGAAGAGACAACCACACTGCCCCCATAAATCAGGTTTTCTGTGTTTGTGTTTTTGTAGTTTTCTTATTGAAAATTCTGTAAAAAAAAAAAATGTCAATTATATATAACGGACCCCCCAGATACCCTCCCAGAGCTGTTACCAGCATTTTGCCAATTTTATTTCATTTATTTCCTCTCAGTTGCTTTTATGTTTTCTAGATTATTTTTAAACCAAATCATCAATATAATTTTTCTTATAGGCACCACAGTTTTCTGTAGCTATCTCATTTAATAGGGACACTTCAAAAACAGTTATGCCAATCCCAAACCTAACGAGGTTGCCCATCATTCTTTAAATTAGGAAGCGCTCAGCACACACCCAGGTTTTTTGAAGATTGTTGACATCGTTTTGGACTTTATTTGTTAATGTAGGACCTGGGTGGAGTTTGCATTTGGCTGTTCTCCTGCTCTAAGCAACCTTTTCCTTTCCTTTTCTTCTGTGCCATTTCTCTGAAGCTGGGGTGCATTTTGTAGCTTCCCTGTGGTGCTGGGTCCCTGCTCTTAGGAAGTGACTCGGCCAGGGCTCCTCCCTGGGGTACATCTTGCTCTTCCTGGCCTCTTCGAAGGCCTGGAGCTGCCACCGAGTCCTACTGATTGTCCTCCCTGAGTAGCCATTGAATGTCCGTTTCTCCTCATCCCAGCACACGCTCCTTTGCCTGCCACAAGGAGCATGGTTCCAAAATGCATGTTGGCTGCTGCTTCTCCACAGTTCAGACGTGGTCAGCAGCTGGACATGCTGTTAGGGTTCAGTTCCGATTCCTAAAAAACCACTTACTGCCTCTGACTCAGTTTCTCCAGCCTTGTCCATTCGGTTTTCCCCCTTGTGCTGTCTGATCTCCCGTTAGCACCTTGAGGTCAGCACACGTTCTCACCCTGGGGTGTCCCGCTGCTGTCTGTCTGTCTCCCGGCTCTGCCCTTCCCAGCCTGTGCTAGCACAGCTCCCGTGGACGTGCATTGCCTGCCTCCTGCACTACACCTCGGTCTCCGAGAGCAAGGGCTGGTTTGCCTGGTTCACCCTACCTCCCAGTCCCGGCCCAGAGCCCGGTGCCTGCCCCAGAGCCCGCCCGCCTCCCTGTCTTCTGCATGAGTCCGTGTGCGCGCGCGTGCGTGTGTGTGTGTGTGTGTGTGTGTGTGTGTGTGTGTGTGTGTTCGCGAGTGTGCGAGTGCCCGCAGTGGTGAAAGGGGTCAGAGAAAGACTGCATGTGTAGGCTTCACGTCTGAAAACCTTTAGCAGCACTCGTCGCTTGAGCTGCTTTTCACATTTCCCCCTAACAGCTTAGAACTTGAAGCGAAGCTCGCCCTCGCCTTCCTGCGAGGGTTTTGAGTGTTGATGATGGGTAATGAGCATCCCCACTTAGTGCTTGCCACACGTCCCGCTTTGCCGTATGTCGGCCGTATGAGAGTATCTGTGCCAGTTCCCGAGAGACCTGTGCTGGGGTGAAGCTAAGCGCCCGCGAGTGCGTCCGAAGGCCGCTCAGGTGTGTTGCGCGCCCTCGCCCTGCGGGGGGACTGCGTTAGCGGCGCGTCTGCCCTGTCTCGGCAGGCTGTTTGGGGGCTTGGTGCTGGACGTCAAGCGGAAGGCGCCCTGGTACTGGAGTGACTTCCGGGACGCGCTGAGCCTGCAGTGTCTGGCCTCCTTCTTGTTCCTGTACTGCGCCTGCATGTCGCCTGTTATCACCTTTGGGGGACTGCTGGGAGAAGCCACTGAAGGACGCATAGTAAGAGCCTGTCGCCATTCCTAATTCCCACACACGACAGAACCTGTCACGGGGCACCGAGTCCTCTGGGGGAACACGGCCTAGTCCGTGCTGGGGACCTGGCTCCCTTTTCCTGACCGGCTGGGTTTCCTGTCGCACATGTCCCTTCTGCCTGGGTGTCACCTCTGCGGCTGGTGGCCTAGCTGGAGAGGTGAATTGCTCATCGCCCCTAGAGTGGAAAGTGGACCCACTGATGACAGTGGAAGCCGAGCTTCAGTGACTCCTCGGGAGCGTGTGCTTGCTGTCTCTCTTTGTATTGAGCCGAAGGCTGTACCGTAGTTGAGGCACGGCAGAGGCTTGGTCCCTGAATTAGCGGAGTGGTGTCTGTTTGCACCATATCAGGCACTGTGTAGCCGTCGCTCTTGCTCAGAGGAAGCACAAGCCGATGAGCGTGGAGGCCGGTGCAGCTGGGTCAGCTGGGAAGCCGGCTCTCTGTGCACGTGGCTTCCGACTCTGATCTCTTTTCTCCTCCACAGAGTGCGATCGAGTCCTTATTTGGAGCATCCATGACTGGGATCGCCTACTCTCTGTTCGCTGGGCAGCCTCTCACCATCCTGGGGAGCACTGGGCCCGTGCTGGTGTTTGAAAAGATTTTGTTCAAGTTCTGCAAGTAAGACATTGGTTTCCCTGACAGTGCTTGGTCATGGCTGCTGTGCTGCCAAAGCTGACACTAGATCCTGTGCAGGCACGAGGACACGCACACCAGAGGGGTGGTCTGCCGTGCTCCCCCGAAGCTCCTGCTGTCTTCCCTATGGTCTCCTGTCCTCCCTGTGGTCTGCTGTCCTCCCCCATTGCTCCTGTTGTCCTCCCCGTGGTCTGCTGTCCTGTCCTCCCTGTGGT